AATTAAAAACCTGCCCGTTTCTTCACTACGTCTTTTACTATCACAGTGTTCACTGTACATTTATCATCAATATTTTGCAAAAGCACCATAATATGACTTAAATATATGATTTACTATGGTTCATTTAACAAAGACTACAAACTGACACTTCTGTCATGCCTCTGCAATCACATCCACTTTCGTCCTGAAGATTTCTGAGCCAGTATAGCTTGACATGGCCTTCCAGCATTTCCCCACATCATCCAATCACAAACCCATCAGAGCAGGAAAGCTTCATGACAACATTGATACCATGACAAGAGACGGCATCCCCTCCATCTGTAAACACAGTCCAAGTCCACTATCATCTGCGCATGAGTTCACATACAAGCCGCAGGCCGCACTTCAGGGCAGCGAGAAGATGCTGCGATTCAAAGATGGATACAAAACGAGAGGGTCAGTCTATTCAAGTTACATTTGCTGGGCCCTCCTGCGTTTGCCAGTGAGTTAATCTGATATATGGCCATAGGCTGAATCTATTTGCGTAAGAGCCTCTGCCCTCGGCTCATAGATCAGTCAAGCAGCCCTTGCTTGCTCTGTTCCTTCTGTAATGGATGACTGCAGAAAGAAGCAATGCAGGTGCACCTTAAGAAACCCTAAACTGGGGAACAAGGCACAGTAGGGAAGTTAGGCCGCAAGGAAGGTTATAAATATTGGCTCGAGCAGTTCTTCAACAGTATCAAAGTGCACCTTTAGGAGAAATGGCATACTTAACTTTGAGGAACTGTCTGTTATACTCGCTTAAAGGGATCTTTTACTGTGCTCACAGTATTTTTCAGGATAAGTCATGTTTTATGATATGTAATGTGTAGCGACTTACACTCCAAAGTGACTTATATAATGCGATTAATGTCAAAGTATGCACATTACCCCTTCTCTTCTACTTGCCCCACTTTAAGGAGGATTTGAAGTGGTATCTCTAAGGTCTGTTCCATGAAGACCAAATGGATTTTTACCCTTATAAGTTTACACTTAGTTTAAGCAAACTCTGAGTTTTCGGGCCCATGAAGGTGAGTTGATTTTGATTGGGTTCTTTCACTGCGGTAACTTACACTATACGGCTTCTATCTTCTGTGTTAGAGATTGCAAACACAAACTGGACCAATCAACTGTGACTAAAGTGACAAATATCTGACGCAAAAAAGTCACCCTGAGTTCCCCAAGTGTCCTTTCTGCTCCAAATGAAAGTGTTTTACACTAAATGAATGTGTTCGTATTTTTGATAATGACATCTCCTAATCTGCAACAAAGAAGTGAATTGCCGACTCTCTTGCAAGCAATCTGTCCAACTGACAGTTTAGGAAAGCCTAAACTGGGGAACAAGGCACAGTAGGGAGGTTAGGCCACAAGGAAGGTTATAAATATTGGCTCGAGCCGTTCTTCAACAGTATCAAAGTGCACCTTCACGAGAAACGGCATACTTAACTCAGAGGAACTTTCTAAAAGAGTCCCCTAAAGGGATTTTTTACTGTGCTCACAGTATTTTTCAGAGTAAATCATGTTTTATGATATGTAATGTAGTGCGACTTACATTCCAAAGTGACTAATATAATGCAATAAAAGTCAAACAATGTATGTTACCCCTTCTCTTCTACTTGCCCCACTTCAAGCAGAATTTGAACTGGCATCTCTAGAGCCTGTCGCACAAAGACAATTTGGGTTTATATCCCATAAGTTTGCATTTAGTCTGAGCAAACTCTGAGTTCAAGAAGGTAGGTTGGTTTTTATTGGGTGCCGTTGCTGTGGTAACTTACACTACGCCTCTAACTTCAGAGTTAGAGATTGCAAACCTAAACTTGACCAACTAAGTATGACTAAAGTGACATATTTGATACAACAGTCACTCTCAGTTCCCCCAGGTGTCTTTTTCTGCTCCAAATGAAAGCCTTTTACACACAAAAATTGCTTAACATTTTTGATAATGATATCTTCTAATCTGCAACAGAGAAGTTAATTGCTGACTCTCTTGCAAGAAATTCGTCCAACTGACAGCTTAAGAAATCCTAAACTGGGGAACAAGGCACAGTAGGGAAGTTAGGCCGCAAGGACAGTCATAAATTTTGTCTTGAGCCGTTCTTTAACAGTATCAAAGAGCACCTTGAGGAGAAACAACATGCTTAATTATGAGGATCTGTCTGTTACAGTCGCTGAAAGGAATCTTTTACTGTACTCACAGTATGTTTTTAGGATAAATCATGTTTTATGATATGTAATGTGCTGCGACTTACATTCCAAAGTGACTTATATAATGCAATTAATGTCAAAGTATGCATCTTACCCCTTCTCTTCTACTTGCCCCACTTTCAGCAGGAATTGAATTGGCTTCTCTAAGGCCTGTTGTGCAAGATGATTTGGGCTTTTACCCCTGATTCTCTTCAACAGAGAAGTGAATTGCTGACTCTCTTCAAAGAAATGATTTAAACTGACTCTCATGTGTGTTGTGATTGGCTGTTTGCTGCACGTCACACTTTCAGGCGAATATTATTCACAAACTCTGGGTTAAACTTGAGTTGACATAGAACCTTTATATCAAGAGTTGTGAAACCCCTGAACCTGATTTTAAGGTTGGATTTGTTTGGTTTTGTCAACCCTAAACTAACTCTGCAAACTAGAGTTTGCTCAACTCGTTTTTTTGCAACAGGCCTTTGGTTTGGGAGGCAGTTACACTGACAAGGACATTATACACCACATCCTCTGATTCTAGGCATTAGTGTGCCTCTCAAAATTCACTTGCACAAGTACAACTAGCTTGCTTCTATTACTTTCACTCCAACAAACCTCAATCCCTCGTGGAATTAGGGGGGTTATGTTGGTGCCATGAACCAGAGTGAGTTTTAGGCAGGTGAGTGTAAAAGAGTCCAGCTATGAAGAACTGTGCAGGTAAACCACACTCCCTTTAAAATC